GTAAAATATACGACAGGTCTGGACCACTCCTGAATTTTGTTTGTGTCTGAAAAAAATCGTAGAATATGAAAACATTGGTGAATGTCACAAATTCTCCTAAATCACTCGTACGCACAACTTAAGAACAAATCTGTGCGTACCAACGGTTTTTACATGAGGCCCAATGTTCTCACCTGCACACTGCTGCTGAGGTTTATAAAGTTTGTGTAGTGTAAAAAAACAACACACTGCTGCTGAGGTTTATAAAGTTTGTGTAGTGTAAAAAAACAACACACTGCTGCTGAGGTTTATAAAGTTTGTGTAGTGTAAAAAACAACACACTGCTGCTGAGGTTTATAAAGGTTGTGTAGTGTAAAAAAACAACACTCTGCACACCTGAAAATCATCATGAAGCACAGAGCGTTCTGAGGTATCACCAACTGAAAGATGGCATCAGAACACCAAACCAAGCTAAATGTGTGTCTGTGGGGGACAGACAAAGAGACAAATGAATAAACAACCATTCACCCTCTCTAACACTGTTCAATCCACTGAAATGACTTATTGTAATAGCAATTGTGTATTTCTGTGTTTTTAGCTCCTGGAGGGAGTTTTTAAATGAGGAGTCTTTTGTTTATGGGTGTAAATTTATTTAGTGGAAGTGTTTTCTCTTTGGATGTATATGTTAAGGTTAATCTTAACCTACCTTTGCTTGTGGAGCCAAGCTGGAAGCCTGTTTGAACTCTTTATTTATCGTAAGTGGTTTTAATACCACACATGGACACTGGGGGGGACAAGGGAAATTTATTTATTGTTTGTGTTGTGGGAAGATGGTCAGAAACATGGCAAAAGGGTGTTAAAAAGACAAATAGTCATGCGGGTATGATCATAAAGTCATTTATAAATGGGCAGACATTAAACAGAAAACAATCACGAAGTCTGTCAGATGTGGCCCGCCCGTCATTGGCTGCCAAGCAATGATATACTGTCAGCTAACATCATGTGATAATGAACAACCAATCAGAATCTGCCTCGTCCTGATACGTGAAAATAGGTCAACTTGATGCTGACGTCCGGAAGATATCACGAGATATGAACAATGGTCAGTGTCAAGGTGAAACAGGAATAAGTATTCCACAACATTCCCTCCTCTTGAGTAAAGAAAATACTCAAAACCAGAAATGGAAAAGAAATAATTATTAAATGTCTGTTCTACTAATGCAACGCTCAACAAATATAAAATGAGAAATATGGTAAAAAATAGTGCAATGGATTACTGGCAAAAACTGGCATGTGCAAGGAAAACAAAAAAACAAATGTGTAACAAAAAATAACAAACAAAAGCTAGACCCAAGTCTAAATAAATTAAACTTAAGGTAAGAGCTCCACCCTCCTCTTGTT